CTTCCAGGCCTGCGCTCAGCCGGCCCACCTCTGCCGACTCCCACTGTGCGCTGTGCCATCCTCCCCCTCGCGAAGCCTGGCCCTGCAGGTTTTCATCCATCAGGTGAGCGGCCGACGGGGTCTCGCAGGGGTCCGGGCCCCCCCTCCCTTCAGCCTCCAGCGTGAAGCCTTATTCCCCCGCGGACCGGCTGGGCGGGCCGCCGCTGGGGTACGAGCCGCAGCCCTGCCGTCTGGGCCGCTCTGCTAACCCACCTTGGCGAGCTCCTGGTGACCCCGAGCCAGGCGCCCCCGGTCCCCGCCTCCACCAGCCCCGCCCTGCTGGCTTCAGGGGAAACTGGTTCTGGCAGAAGTCACGTGTCTGGAGGAGAAAGTGGCCCTGCCAGTCAGGTGGGACCACGGTGGCACAGAGCCAAGCGCCCTCTGCCCGTCCCGCCACGGTGGGGACGGTCCAGGAAGGCGACGTGACGGCTCGAGGATGCGGTGCCCAAAAGGCCCCCAGGACCTGCCACCAGCCCGGAGCCAACCCCAGGTGGGGGCACCCGGCCTCCTGGGGAGAAAGCATCAGGAGACACTGGCCTGACCCGTGAAACACGGGGGGCCATGCCTCGGGTCCCCGAAGAGGCCAAAAGGGAAACGAAGACGTATTCCACACAGCGACGTGGGCACCCACGTTCATTCACGACGGCCCGGGCACCTGCCGGCGGGTGGACGGGTGAGCCTCGGCCCATCCACGCCAGGGACTGTTCTCCGTCCGCGAAAGGAGTAAAGTATTGTAACCCTGTCCACAGGCCCTGGAGGGCTGTGTCAGGAACTCTGGCAGAGGCACTTGTGTGGGGTGGGGCACGGTTTCTGTTTTAAAAAGTTGAATTTCCACTGGGGCGTGTGGGTGGCTCCGTCGGTGGAGCGTCCGACTTCGGCTCAGGTCGTGATCTCACGGTTCGTGGGTTCGAGCCCCGTGTCAAGCTCTGTGCTGACAGCTCGGAGCCTGGCGTCTGCTTCACATTCTGTGTCTCCCTCTCTCTCTGCCCCTCCCCTGCTCATGCTGTGTCTCTCTCTCTCTCAAAAATAAACAGACATTAAAAAGTTGAATTTTCACAACTTATCACATCTCCACTGACCATCGTCCCCACCTGATTCCGGCAAACCCCAAGCCGCGTGGCGCTGACCCATGACCCTGACCCTCTCTCTAGCAGCCTTGTTGGCACGCCCGAGCCATTTTACGGACACTGAAGCAGTGGCCATCCAGCCCCGAGTCCTGCCACCTGTGAGCCATCCAGTGGAGTCACTGAGACATGGAGAAGGGACCCCTGATGACCCAGGTCGCCGAGAGTGGGTCCCCCAGAGCTATCAGGACTGAGAAACCGCTGTGGGGGAGATGAGAAGGCTTATTCCCAATGTCCCGAGACCTACATTTGGGTCTATTCCCGACACACGGGTCACACTGTAAGATGACAGGTCCCGAGACATGAAGCGCTAAGCAGGCGCCTCGTGAGCAGCAGGGGACAGCTAAAAATGATACCGAGAGTGACAAAGAGCTGGTCCTGGGTCATGACATGTCCTTCTGGGTCAGGATGGACACCCGTCCTGCCATGTCAGGTCCTGACGGCCCGCTGTCCCTTCCTCGGCGCCCGCCTTCCGGGACGCCCCAGGGAACCCAGCCTGCCAGTTGGGGCCCCGCCCTGGGCACCTGCATTGGCACACAAAAGCCTCAGCTCTGTGTCGGGGACAGCCTGTCCCGGCCCCCGGGAGGTGGTGCTCGGGGGAGTTTCCCAGTGGCTCCCCAGCCCATGTGGGGTCAGACGCCCCAGTCACGTCCTGAGACCACAGGGCCACCCCCTCCAGGCTCTCTGACCCGGGCGGGTGAAAGGAAGAAGCGTCCCTCCAGCCTCTGCAGTCACATGGCCCTCCCCTGTGTGTCTGTCTTAATAGCCCTTTCCTTTCTCTTAAAGGTCACTGGATTTAGGGTCCACCGGGCAATCCAGGACGATCTCATACCAAGACCCCCCATCTGTAAATCCTTAATTCCAAGCAAGGTCATGTGCAAGCAAGGTCACATTCACGGACTCAGGGGCTAGGACTAGGACAAATCTTTTAGTGGGGGGGTCATCATTCAACATTCAACTCACTGCAGGGTTTGAAGGTCACCCAGCCCAACGGAGACCTCCGGGATGGCGTGTGGGGGGCTCGCCATGACATACCCAGCGTGGGCAGGTACGCGGTGCCCCCCTTGGCTTGCGGGGACCCACCGGGCCCTCATCTGCTCTGCATCCACCTGTTCAGGCCCCTCCTGCTCAGCCGGGTTAGGCCCAGGGCCTGCCGGTTCCTCCCACTGCCCCGAGGACCCTCAGCACAGCCAGTTCTTGCCCTCCCACCCCCTTGGCCAACCTCCTCAGGGCTCCATCCGCTGGATGACGCCTCAGACCCGCCCGCCCCGTCCCTCTGCCTCGAGCCCGGGCAAGCACTGGAAGGTATTGGCTATTTTGCCCCGCTGGCCTGTTCCCGCACCAGGTCGCCGAAGCCAGGGAGCGCAGCCCCACCCCGCACCCAGCTCGCCGTCACCCCCACTGAAACTTCCAGAGAGCCAGCAATGCTCCCCTGTGTGCTGAGCTGGCCACGGAGGACCCGATCTGACTCCCGCCCGGGACCTGCTCGGGACCCCAAGGCTGGGAACGACCATCGGGGCCCGTGCATCCCGGGGTCGGCCAGGATCAGGCGTCTGCACTTGGAAGCTCCTGGAGGAGGGATCACAGCCGCCAGCGCTTAGACCCGAACCAGCAAGAGCCACCTGCTGCAACGTGCACATCTCAGCACCCAGAACAGGAAGTGTAGGGACGGCAGGGGGCCCGGGACCTTCTGGAACGGGTGCTCGTCCATCACGCACCTTTATTTTGTCCCTGGAGGAAGGCTGTGCCACCCACGGCACTCCCAGAGGATTCAAGCGGGCTGAGAGCCGTCCAGTTAGGAAACGCGCTCTGAACACACACACGGGGTGCAGCTGCACCTGCAAACGGGGGGCTCGGGGAGCCCGCCCACCGCCCCACCTGGGCCACACCAGGAGCCCAGAGAGCTGACTGTCACTTCTCTCTGGACAGCCACCTGGAGCTCGTGGGGGAGGGGAGGGAGCTGGTTCGCTCGCCGTGGGAGGGTGGAAAGGGGGTCTCGTGAGCGGATTCCCCTAAGGACCTGGGGGGCCGGTTGTAGAAAATGCTAGGAGAGATTCCAGCCAGAGAGGAGGCTGGGAGGGCCCCACGGGCACGGATGCTGGACCCTGGGGACAGGGCACCTGGGGAAGCCCCCCTAGGTTTCCGTTGCACTTTTGGTGCGACGTCTTCAGCAGAATCACTAAGCTGCCGCAAGCAGGCCGCATGCCCAGGGCGCCCAGGACGGGCAGGGATGGGGGAGGAGGAGGGACGAGCCTGGGGGCACCTGCAGGGCTTGGGAAAGCGCTGAGTCTCCACAGCCTGTTCCAGAACAGCGCCTGGCACAGAGGCACACAGACCGCACGAGACGATCAGGCGGCGTCGAGCCCCCATCGCCGAGGTGGGGGGAGCGGCACCCCTCTTTACGCGTGTGCCCCTCGCTCTCCTTCCTGTCACGCACAGCGTGGAGGGGCTGGGGGTTGAGACGTGGTTCAGCCGAGGACAGAAGGGTCTGGCACCGCAGCTGCCCTCGCACCCCGTCCCCAGCGATAAACACACAGATAGCGCCTCCTCGGAGTGGGGACGGTGCGCGTGGCCCCAGGTGCGCGTGGCCTGGGCCCGTCTGGGCCCCAGCAAGGCTCCCGGGGATCTGACCACTCGCCCTACCCCGGGGCTTCAGTTCTCCCCACGGCAAATCCAGGCACGTGAAAGACCCGCGATCCCAGGGGAGGGGGCCGGGGCACGACAAACACGAGCGACCAGCTGCACGCCTCGCCCAGTCCCAAGGGCACTAGGGGCGGGTGTCGTCCTGGCCGCTGAGCCTGGGGCACTCCGCTGGGGGGCTGGGGCTGGGGCTGGGGCTGGGTGGGGGTCCTGAGGGCCCAGCTGAGCCTGGCAGAGGCTGGATGAGGGGTGCTCGGCCACAGCCCTCACGTGGGATGCGTCTTACACTGTGTGCCCCCAAAGGGCCTGGTGTGGGGCTGCCTTGGCCTCCAGCTGCCCGGGTAGGGGGGTGGGGCTGGTCACAGACCAAGGCCGGACCACGGTGACAGGCCCCGGTCTGCTGGTCAGTGGGAAGTGCTCCGATTTGGGGATCCCCCAGTGTACCCCGCAGGCCAGCCCAGCGGATCCCGTTGGCACGCAGCCCTGCGCGGGCCCAGCTCAGAAGCAGGCCTTGCGAACGGCGGAAGACGGACGGACGGACGGACCGGAAGGAGGGAGAGAAGGAGGGCAGTTGTAAACGAGAGTCAAACCCTCAAGCCCTGGAATCCGTTAGGCCGGTGAGCCACCCCCTGGAGACTTACTCTAGGGAATAAAATCCCATCCGATCGATACGGGCGCGAAGGATGGCTCTGTGGGTTATTTACGGCACCAGGCACGGGTGGGCACCAGCAAGGGAAGGAGGGTCCTGCTGTGGACATCGAGTGTGGCAGCATAAGGGCCACGGGATGCTCGTCTGTGTAACAAGGGGCTCGGAAGGCGCCAAGCGTGGCCAGCAGGCTTCACCGCAGCCTGAGGTCTCGGTGACAGGGACCACGGAGGCCTGCGTGTGTGCACGTGTGCGTGTGGCGAGGGGCCTCCTCCATCTGCCTGGGCCCCACGACGAGCGTGTGCGGCTTCGCTGTAGGAAAACATCCCCGGCCCAGCCATCCCCAGGCTGAAAATAAGTGAGGAGAACTAGAGACGCTGTCTCCCTGGGGGGACGCGGGGGGCGTGGGAGGGGAGGGCCTGGCAAGGGGCGTGGGGGGGCGGCGGGGGAGGGAGGCCCAGGTCCCGCCTGTCGGGCACCCAGTGGGCATCAGCAAGTAGCAGCTGTTAACGACCCGGGGGGCCCAACCCACGGGGGGCGTGTATACCTTAGGTGCTTGGTGTCCACACGAGGCTGACTGAACAACTGACCTTCAGGGCAGGCCTGAGCGGCCAAGAACAGACTGGGGGGAATCCCGGTGGGGGCGGGAGG